TAATTACATAATAATTTGATTAACTAACAATTATAGCCATTATAAAGCTATTATTTAAGTGATAGTAATTACTTTTCATTTTAAAATTATTATGAGTTTAATAGTCATTTTATTTATTTAATTACTCTTGTTCCTCTTTGCTGACGGTCTTATACGGCTCCGGCACTTCTAATTTTAGAAATGGCAGTATATCTTTAGTATTTCCAATAGACAGTCTGCGCGCTGGAGATAAAAATGATTTATTCCCACGGTTCGCTTTGAAATTTTTGAGTTTTTAATCCAAAATTCGTTAAAATTTTACAAAATATGAAATAGATAATGAAACAGATCCTAATTCGGGCTTCCAGGTGCCCAAGTTCGGGTGGAGGTCTATGTTATTCAAAATTTGATTACTCTAGGTACTGTTGTTTTTTTTTCACAAGGAGAGAAAATGCAACACTATGTAGATTCTTCATTATTTAGTTTCTTTAAATTAAGACATGCAATATATTGGTGGCCATTTCAAAAAATGATTCCGTCATTTAAAGTGATTCGACGCAATATGCCGTTTTGAAACTAGTAGCCTTGTAGGCTACTTATTGAATTCAGAAAAAGTCATAGGTTGCACACAATGTCCTTTTAAATGCCTTTTGCATTTCTGACCGGCTCCTAAGGTGTTATACAGTTCACTATCATAACCCACGATTTTAACCGTGTAACGTTAACAATTACGTGTACCGTTAAGAATCACCATATGCTGAAGTACGGCTTGAAACAAATAAACGACAGTCAAAGTTCGTGGTCTAAAAAGGGTAAACACAAGAAAATGTTAACCATTAGATAGAACGTTAAAGATAGAATATTTGATTGATACTGAGATTCAGCATAAGGCACTTTATAATTAGTTTTTGCATTTTCATACAAAACAAGAAATTACGAAAAAAAAATTATTTGCATCTTTTCCACCTATTATGCTTGCTACGTAATTGCGCTAGTTGTTATTTGATGAAATAAGTTTAAATTATTGAAATATCCGATCTCCTTTGAAGAACTACAACCGGAAAAAATTGTTTTGTTTGACGAAAACGTTGGCCTCATGCGCTAGTCCGGCGTTTTCTATGTACGAGTAGATTTCTAACAGTTCACATTTTTTAAATGTACGGATACGCTAGGAAACGGTCTAGTTTTTTATAAAGGCGAAGATATATTCATCTCCTGTCATAATTAATCATACTGAAACTAAATCGCACTTGCATTAGTAGTCCTATATGCTACTGCATAAAGATGCTAAGGGTGCGCCATATGCATACTTGCAGAAAAGAAAGATGCATTATGCATACTTGCAGAAGATGCAAGATGCCCATATGCTACTTGCAGAGATGCCTGAGGATGCCCCATAGCAGCTTGCGAAAGATGCATGGATGCCCATATGTATGCTTGCAGAAAGAGCTAGGTCCCCGTACGTAAAAGTGCGCGCACCTTTATGAAAACAAAATAAAAACCTTTTCTTGTCTTTTTCAAGCTAGAGACTGGCCTACAGTTTTGGGGCCGTCCCTTTATGTTGGAAAACCCTTATGAAGGTTTCTGGCTTTTTCGAAGCTGTCGACTTGCGTAGGGGTCTAGCACCTATATGTTGGGGCACACTGATGGGAGTGGAGTCATGGATAACAAGAGCTCAAATGCAATTTGTGGATTTTCTGTACGATCAGTTTAGCACTTACCATAACACTTAAAACGTTTAGGAATTAAAAGAAAAGCAGGATATTTCACTTTGGACAATTTATTCACGGGCCTCATAACATTTTTTCCGCTGCTGCAGTCCGCCGCGGGATTTTGAGACCATTGTAAGGTTTAGATCTTCTCTTTTCGCTTTTATGTGACGTCAGCATCACGAAAGCGCTGTTGACATTAGCAACGTTTAGTCGAGCAGTATGGCCACTAATCAAAGAGAACAATCTTTTCATGTTCTTAGATTTGGAAAACCAGACTTTTTTATGGTTGGATAACATATTTTCACAACATGGTACGGATGAAAATCTCCCATCGTTCAACAGTCAAGAACATATCCCTGGCATATTGGGCACCAAGAAGTCCGGATCTAACACGGTATGCGTGCATCAGGCCATGAGGTTTTGCTCTGTTTATACAAATTTATAATCCTACAAGTTTATAATCTTAAACAAAAAACTATTTGTAACTTAGCCATGCTTTAGAACACAAATTTCTAACCTCACTATACTATTTAAGCAGGGCTATTAAAACTCTTATTTTTATATAACTTTGAAAATGTCTAGTTCTTTTTGGTTAGCCTTGTACCAGTTTTTAATGTGAAAGCCTATAAATGTTTCCATGTTTTGTTTGTCAGAATATTAATGAGTTATGTAATTTGTTTTCTTTTTTACGTTTGCTGGTTTTCATTACTTTCTTAATAACTTTATTCATTCACTTGTGAAAATACACTCATTTATTGAAATTAATTAGTATAATAGAAAACGTGATTGGTATCTGTTTTTTCTCGGAAAACAGCCATTAAACTCTACTTGTGATTTCTTCATAAAAAAAGCAAACATCGTAAAATCATGAATTTTTTAGAAGGAGTATTAAAATATCATTATTAATCTGTTAATTATTTATTTTTCAAAGAATATTCAAAAAAGTGTAATATTGTTTTAATCCAAGCATTAACAAATTCGTCAAGCGTAATTTTTCCTGCCTTACGTTTTCAAGTATCTGTTAAAATTTTGAAGGCAACTGTTTTAAATGTGAAAGTTTACGCATTCTCTCCCTCTGCTTTCCAACATAAAATCCTCAAACATTTTAATTAGTATGAAACTTTCCTTTTTTAGAAGAAGTGGGAAAGCAAAGCCATAAAAAGTAATAATTAGAGCTGCAAAAAAAGAAAGATAATAAATTCTTATGAAACGAAATGGCTATTTTATATTTTCAAAAACAGGATAATTAATATTTTTTCGTAATTGCATTAAAAGTATTTAGAAAAAATTCCTGCTTTCTATTTTCAGCTGAAGCGAAAATTATTAACGTTGTTTGCTTTAATACACACACACACACACACACACACAAAAAAAAAAAAAAAAAATCTGAAGCTTTCAGATTTACATACCGGCCCAAAGGGGGTGTTTTTTAATGTTTTGGGGGTTACCTTTATTTATAAATATCATGTTCTTCGCTCTTAACCATAAACTTATTCAAAGCAATATCGCAATTTTTAAATGGCGGCATAATTTTCGATTCTTAGAATGTTAGAAATGTATCTTAGAATCTTAGAAATGTTTTGTGGGTTACCTTATTTATTAATATCATGTCTCACACTAAACCATAAAATCGTTCAAGATTAATATCACAAAATAATTTTAAAATGAGCATATCTTTATAATTTCTACACCTCTCGCAAGCTGGTAGTATTTTTTTTTTCCATCTGTACAGTGTTACCATTGCTCGATTGAAACGTGAGATTGTCGTAGAAATAACGTTAAAGTTTTAGAAATATAAATAGATAATAAAACAATCCATTAAGGCTTCCAGATAACATATTTGGTTAAAACGTACGTTATTCAAATTAGATGGTTCTAGGTATCGTTGTCAAATGGACATGTTATTCGAGAAACATCATACATTAAAAAGATTTCTTCTTATTAATTCTTTAAATATTATACACGTGGAATAATATTTAATATATTTGGTGGAAACATATGAAAATTAACCGACTTATAGTGAATCAACGCAAAATCCGAACGAGATTAGTGTCCTCTGGGCAAATTGCCCTTGGATAAAAAGCTTAATTTGAATTTGACATTTATTTTATATCTATTTTATATTTTTAACAACACTTCAACGAATTTTTGATTAACAAACTCGACGATTTCGAAGCGACCAATGGCAACACTGTACGAAGAAAAAAAATTTTTCTCTCCAGCGCACAGACCTGTATCGGAAATTCTAAAGACGCTATTTAAATATTTTTTTTTTTTGCTGCTGAACTGAATTTTAAGGTTTATGTGCAAAGCACATGATATTTAATAAATAAAGGTAACACAACACACAAAATGTTAAAAAAAACGTAATTTAAAATCTGAAAGCTTTCAGTTTTTTTTTTTTTTTTTTTTTTTTTTTTTTTTTTTTTTTTTTTTGTGTGTGTGTGTGTGTGTATGTAAAATTTGGTGAGAAACCGAGAAAATTATTAAACATTACAAGTTCAAGAATTGCCACCTGAAATGAAGTGTTCCGCGAAGTAAATGGACGCATCAATGGCTTAACGTCTACTTTTCTGACGAATCCCGCTTTTCCGTATTGCATCATGATGTCCTATCCATGTATGAAGGCGCAAGTGAAAGCTAGAATCTTGCATTCAGGGTCATACCCATCCAGCACCTGGACAATTACCAATAGGTACATATGCCAATCATCTCTAGTCCGCACATCCAGTACTTTGACCTGCCGCCATTACATGACTGAGATTTAAATCTCTGTGGTTATGCTATAACTTCGCTGTAATTCAACAAGATGACGTAAGCCTACATTTCGCAATACAATAAGATTTCGATCTCTGCATTGATTGGTGCATTCTCCAGAACACTCGCCAACTGAAATTATCTGCTCAATGGTTGTAAAAAGACTGGCACGACAGCACCTGTCAGACAATACGACAAATAAACTTTGGCTTAGAACAGAAATCATATACAGTCTAATACTCATTCATATCTGCCAACCAAAGTCTACCGACTCAAAGCTCATCCGTATAACAACTGCTATTGCTGCTAAAGTCAGAGGCTCTCGGTACGAAAGTCAGATGCTTTCGGTACGAAATCTGCAAGTTCTGGACCTCAAAGCTGCTTAAAATTTTAATTATCTCATCTTTCAGTACAATGCATTCTTAAAATAAATAAGATTAAGCTAAGTGCTTTCTTTCATGGTGTAGTAATTTTAATAGACAGCTGTGTAGTCTCTTTCAAATGTAATCAAACGCTAACAACTGAGTCAAGTGATTAAAATACACAAAAAGGTTTAGGTTTCTTACTTGACATTTTATTCTGTAACTATTTTATATACATTTCATAAAATAATATCGTAAAAGTTTGATATAAATAGTATAATACATATTAGAATAAAATATAGTGTCCATAAAAGCGATCAGATACTTACTGTTCCATTAAATAGAACAATACTTCCTTTATTTCGTATATGGAACTAAAAAACTAAATATTTTATTCAGGTTTTCTTGGATTCCTCTTACCTTTTATAACGCGACTGAATGTACTAGGTTTTAATGTTATGCATCTTATATCACTAATCCTAAATTCCTCTTTACAGAGATATTTTGTTTTTTCATTTTATTTTCCAGTTTTGACAAATATGTTTGATAGAATTTAAATCTAGACACTGAGAAATATTTTGATTATTTCGATGCAGTTGAACATCAGTCAGATACTGTGTTCATTCTTACCAATCATTGTCTCGGTAGAATATGAGATTACCATTGTAGGTTAAGTTTTTGTGCTGATTATTTAAAATTTCGAAATATCATTGTGTTTATACTCAATCAGTTGCACTACCAATAAACTTTAGGTTATGATTTCAACAAATGCCTATATCATAACTCTCTTTTACCACCACCTTACCGTTAGAAGTAAGTTTTCCAGAATCTCGTTCCCCTTCGTATAGTAAATTGACCATTCCATCCGAAGATGTTAACTAACTTAAACAGCAGTGTCAACAAATTTATGTTATCATAGTTCTTATTTCTGATACAATCTCAGAAGGAAAGCTGAAATTTTCTTTCTTAAAGGATTTTTCCCTTGCTTCTTGCCCGTTGTATTCAGCAAATAGGGTTCTTATTTTTAGAATAACAATTGAATTAAGGTCTTCTTTACAAGATTAAATAATTTTCTGCTACAAGTGTGGGATTACTGAGTTTTCTATTATAGTAATACTTATGACAATATTGGCTGTATCGCATAGAACAAATCTCAATGTCTTTCAACTCTTTATTTTGAATTCTGTGAAGCTTTGAATAATGTTTTACTATGCCATAATTTATACTTCATTACGAAAATTTTTAATTTCATATGCTTTTTAAAGCAGTTTTGATATAAAAATACATAAACAACATAAATTTTGAAAAATGCAAAGAGATAAATTTTAGACGTTGCCTATGAGTCCGATGTAAAATAATGTCACAAACCTACATTTGTTATTACAAAACATCAGTACATGTGTCTTACTTCCGGTTGCGTTTGAATACATTTTTAATGCAATTTTCTATGTTAAAAAATGCAGTGTTAATTATAAAGACCACAGTTTTATTTTTGCATGGATATTAAACGAAATAGAAAATTAGCTAAAGTGAACTTCAGTGACAAATCTTCTTATAGTTTTAGTTTATGCTTTTGAAATTTTTTAGAGTATTTTCGGGTTTTAACTCTTTGAAGGGCGTTGGTTACCTAAAGTAAACACCTTTTCTATTGAACGTCTTATTAACTCGTGTGAGTGGATTTCAAGTCTGACCGTTTCTGAAGTTCTCTTGTAGCTCACTAGATGGCAATCAAGAAACATAAGCCAGCAGTTGATGCAGAAATTCGTCTTCAAGAAAATAAGCCATCGAAGACAACATCCGATGATGTGCACTCTGCAGCACTAGGAAAAAGCCTGTAAGAACAGTGTGGGGATGCAGTACATGCAAAGTTGCACTCTGCTTGAAAAAGTAAAACTGTTTCCATAAGTATTATAGAGACTGATTTGTGTAGGGATGTGTTCTGTGGTCACTGACACTAACCACCAGAAGTGGTCATTGGACAAAATATGTGTAATTGTTGCAAATAATTTCATGGTAACGCCTGATAAAGTAAATAAAACAAGAGTTTTACTGAAAACGTTAATTACCTTTTCCTGCCCCTCAAAAAGTTAAAAGTAATCGGATCACTTTTGTAGGACACTATATATCTGTTTTATCACATCAACGTTCAAGAAGATTGAAAATCCCTTGATATGAATGATTTCACAGCTCGATAATGTGAAAACTCTTAGTATGAAATAAACCTCTCGAATTTCCAAAACGATTGTTTAGGTTATTCCTCATTTCCAACGAATACAAACACTGCAATTCTGATACTTCAAAATAGGCGTTTCAACGTCACTTTCTCTTCCTTTAGCTTCGCTCGTATCTGTAGTAACGTCCGTTGCTGAATTGAGTCGAGGCTCTGGATTCGGTTTCGTCATGCTGCTATCTTAGTGCTCCCCTGTAATCTTAAATAAGACTATAGAAAAAATATTTCGGTGAGACAAAGAGGATGAGGATGCAAAAGTGGAAACAGGAAACGAAACTGTGTAACCATAAGATAGTTACTTCAAAGGAAAAGGTTAAAATGTAGTAGAGAGAGTATGTATGTTCTTCAGCTGTCATTCGGCATCTGGAACTTTATCTTCCACTTTGATGGCGCGAGTCCTGGACAGAACGAAAGGTCTCTTCACGAAACACACACAGCACGAGGGAAACTTGAAGGCATCTGTGTAAGTCTTCTTCTGGTTAGGATGCAGGGCCAGTAGCCTCTTATAAGCGTATTTTTGCTTACAGCGAGAGCTGACGCCTGAGGGCAAGGCACCATCCAAAAAAGAACAAGGTTTGCCTTCTTTCCTACAAGAAAAAATTAAAATTAATTATAATCAAACTCTGCAAAGCTGAAATGTAAGGGAGCAGAAAAATTTTGAAATAAAAAAATTTGAGCTAATGGACCTTCTAAAAATTGTGCTTAAAAATATTTACTATAGTAAGTAGATACACATTGTGTATACAGAGTTCGCCAAAAACTATATGCACAGTTTAATATATGAAAGTGTCATTGTTTTGACAATAAACGGCATGTATGATTAAAAAAAATCATTACATGCAAGAGTGCGTGGATGTTTTATGTTTTGTGATTAACGGAGAATCCCCGCAGAGTTGTAGAATGAGTAGAAAGTTGAAAAGAATGTTAAGTGGTTTCTTTTCAGAAACTTGTTATATATTACTTATGTATATTATTAATTCTGAAGTTTAATGTAGATGAAATTCTCGGATGCCTTATTGATAATATGGCCCACCAGCGGCCGAGCGGTAAAGTCGCTGAACACTGGTAGTTTGGTCCGAGGTTCGAATCCCGAGAACGGGCTGGCTGCATGGGTGTTTTCGTGATTTTCCCCATGTGTAACGTGTATACGAGCCAGTTTCCCTTAGAAAGTCCTCCGCGAAGGCATCCCTCCCCTTAGGCAGATAGCTCTCGAGGCTTTGCCGTAATTAAATAACCTAACCTAACCTATTGATAATATGCTTATATCCGAACAAATTCAAGGTGAAAATTACTTTTCATCTTATTTATAAGCTTCATTTATTGTATTATTTACGTTTTTATCGAGCCTGGTACAAAACTTCGATGTAGTGTACAAAACTTCGTGGCCTTTCTAGTTGAACAGAAGGATGATAGCAAGGGGTATCAAAACTTCCTGTCAAAAGTAATCATTTCTTATACGACTGTAAACCGAATACGTGAAGCAATAAAGATGAATTAAAATGGTCAGCTCGTAGTTGTCAGTTGAAGCATTTAAGAGCATTTGAATGTAATATTTCAAACTTGAGAATGTTACTGAAGTGCAACGTAAAAATCAAGGTGCAAGTTTGCAGTACCACTACCAGCACAATTGACAATTGTACAGTTTTGTGATTAGCTTGATATTCATTTGTGATTAATTCCCACTGAGTTCAATCCCTTTTGTGATTAGCGCGTGAAACGACGAGACACACCTGTCACTGCAACGAATCTTGTTTTACCAGCTATGGTGTTGGGAAAGTTTACATGTCTGCCACAAAAATCTGCCACACCATGTGAAGAAAGCAGCTTAGCAGTATAGCTTATCTAGATGAGTCTGCAAGTATATTGTTGAGTTGCATTAAAGTTCTCAGCGCGTTCCCTTAATTTAACATTAATATCGTTAGACTTTGAATATAGGAAACAAAGGATGTCAAGCATCATAGAAGATGCTATACTGGACAGAACTACTAGGGAATTTGAAATGGCATATGCAGCAGCAATCTTCATGAGCACCTAGGCCCATGTTGTCGTGTAGCTGGCCACTAACATCTATCACTCTGAGTTAGATGTTAAAGATGACTTATATTTATCTCAAGACGCGTAAAAAAATTAATCCCATATATCATAAAGTTTTTGTTAGTTAAATTGTGTAGACATTTTTTGGAAGGCGGTAAAACTCGGAACTAGCTGCTTCTAGCAATGGTTATTGTTTTAAATAATTTTTAAATAATTTTAAATTTTAAGCCAAAGTCTTAAATTTAACTACAGTTTATCATTACTTCGGACTTTGATCGACCATTTTCAAATGTAACTGGCAAAAACTGGCCGAAATTAAAAATTACCTTCCATTCGCTTTTAATGAACTAAACTAATCTTTTTGGCGACTGAAGAGTATATTTGCATTATAGCAGCATAACTGTCAAAAACTGCATTTTATTATTAGTATCATCAGAAGTACGTAATTGGAAATACGTATAAAATTTTTCGTCAGCTGTTAAAATGAAATAAAATATTCGTTATTAGTGAATAATTATGAACTAAAATACCCATAAATAAATAAAACATGCATTAATTTCTTCTTGTTCTTCTTTTCTCTTTTTCCACGCCTTCCTTTTTTTTTGGGGGGGGAGTATAAAAATAAACAGCAAATAATGAACGTTAGGATTTATTTTTTCACGATATAGGCATTCTTAGGGGAATGTTTCCAAAATTTTTGGAGCAATAAATCAGTTGATTTCCTTATCATGAATTTATCATATATGTGGAATGGCAAGTGCTGCAACTGTAAGCCCCAATACCAGTGACTGTCAACTCATAAGTTACCAGTAGTTTTTTAATATATTAAGACAGTCACGCATACAAAAATGTAAAAATACACAGCGGCACTTGTCAGGACTTGTGTTTCTCTTGATTTGCGTTGGAAACATGAATGATCCTGAATAGGAACAGGGAGCTTACTCAAGCTATGATCAAGAAGGTGTTAAGTAGACAACACAAGCAGGAAGGGTATACGAAACCCTTTATTTTCAGTCTTTTACAGGCACTTCCGAACTTCGGAATACAGAGACCAACCACTTGTGGTCTGAACGTAAGAATATAAAAATTACTAACTAAAATTCTAACTAAAAAGCTAACTTTGAATTAGTATACAAATGCCTAGCACTAAGATTGGCTTTTATTTAAAAAAGGTACGTATGTAATACGCCGAGCTGCTGAAACTACGATACGTCTGCAAATATCAAGAGGTCTAAACCTCTGGCCTTAAAGGCAACCAGCAACCGAGTGAAAACTCGTAAAGCTACAGTGGCAAGCGGCTTGCTTCCTAAAACTCCTTCTCTCTCTCGCTTGGCAAAAAGCCACAACTGAAGTACTTGGGCGTTAGCAAGACAATTTCCATAAATAAGTTAAAGCATTTAATTCTGGCCGGAAGTAGAAAATAAGAAGTGATAGTACAGTTTTAAAATAAAATAAACGTTAGTAAAACTTAGGATCCTTACATACTAACTAATAAAAAATCAGGTGTATTGCACTTAACTGAAATAAAGCTGCGGAACAATAGTAGTTAATAAATGGTCTCAATAAACTAATCAATTGACTGCTGGTTATATCGAAATTTTTCGTAGTTTTTTTCATATATTATGTGAATAAGAACTTGTTTCTATTAGCAAGTCTTTCGCGAAGATATCCTGCGTATAACTAGATAGCTGTTGAGTGCTCTGGCTTATTTTTTTAAGGAACTAACTAATCAATCTACTGTTACAATTTGCTGCATGAATGCTTTATACCAAGTGATGAAGCGTATGACTGTTGTATGGCATAATATTCATATTATATCATTCTACGTCATATGTAATTTCATTAAAATATGTTCATCACTTCTGGAGATAATCGAACTAATACAAAAAATCCTTCATTGAACATCAGTGTACCTTCCCTCCAATTTGTAGGCCCACCAGTGGCCTAACGGTAAAATCGCTGAGCACAGGTAGCTCAATCTGGGTTCAATCTAGGCGAACGGGCTGGCTGGATGGACAGTTTTCTTGGTTCTCCCCGTGTGTAACGTGTATTCCCTTAGATAGTCCTCCACGAAGGCATCCCTCCTCTTAGGCAGACAGCCTTCTAGTGATGTGCCATAATCAAATAAACGAAACCCTCCAATGTGTATCCTTAAGGCATTTTCCTCTTAAAATTGGAATCACAGCGCTGAACTTATAGACATAATGAGTTTTTTTAATGTTTGGGGGATTGAATTTTTCCAACCAACCCCAATAAAGTTGTAAAATGCTAATATATGGCAGTGGTTACATATACATCTCAACTTACTTCCATTAAAATTTGCTTCATTTATAGGTACAAATTTTAATATAATTTTAATTTGCTTCATTTAATGCACCCGGATACTTGGCTAATAGATTTAAACAGAAAGAAAGTTTTTTTAAATAATGCATATGTTATTAACCAAATTATCATAAACAAAAATGTCATTCTATACCTGCAATCGGTTTTGCATTTCTAACTAAACAGACACCATTTCAAGGGCATTTCAAAAAGTCAGAAAATTGTAATTAAGGATTCAAGAAAGTATCAAAACTTGACTCTAACGAAGACAAAAGTTCAATGAATGTAAAGGCAGACGTAAAGCATCTAAAGGAATGTACAAACAGTATTCAAAATAATAGGAATTATTTTAAGCAATTACATTATACTTTACATATATTAGCCCCTTTCAAGTATCGGTCCATTTTCTACGACATTTTGCCTAGTGCTGGAAATATAAAAAGTGTTGTGGAATTGTTGAGATGGAATATTATTCAAAGTAAGCAACATATTTTCTTGCTTTCATCGAGGAATTTTTTTTTTTTTTTTTTTTTTTTTTTTTTTTTTTTGAGCAAAAAGAAGTTATGGTGAGAAGCACGAGGGAGATAAACTGTGTTTTTCTTCCCCAAAAAACTGTTGAACAGAAATCATTTCTTAATATTTTCCTCATTTCCACCCTTCAATAAAAGTGCAAGTAGTAGTAGTTTTCATTTGATATGTCGTTATTTTTTAATTTAGAAAAACCACTCGTGCACTTGGGATTTATTCAAAGCATATTCTTTGAAGAGTCACCAAAGCATAACAATGACCTCAGCTATTTTTATTTCCAACGGAACATAACAAAAATAAAATTTCGCACACAATCTTTGTTCATTGTGAACGCACCTAAAATAAAGGAGCAAAAGGACGCTGACAGCAGATTTTACATAACAACACCGAGGATGAGACGTTTTACTCAAACTGATTCAGCCTAAGTAGTAGATATTACAAGGTAATCACATGATCCGCAATTTGAAAACTGCGCCTTCGATGTCATTACAGTAATTTTTAAGTGCTCCTGTTTATGTAGAAGGCTAAACAGTGATAAAGTTTTTTTTTAATCTCGATTTTTTTAATCAGTTCTAAAACTATAAAGAAGCATTTGTACTACTTGTTTTTCATGCCCCGCGATAAACGGGGCAATTTATGTAAAACGTGTGAAATCATATCGTCAAATTATGTAAACCGCTTTAAATCATAATAGTCTTTTTCC